TGGCTAACATATTGCGATGTTTTAAAAATCGTTACAAACACAATGGTTTGACTGCAATGAATGAACGAATGACCGATCTGGCAACACTATATTCCGAGAATTAACTGCTGTGTTTATCTAACACATTAGGCAGTGAGGAAATTCAGACGGCTACAGTCGTGCATACCGACACGTCCCATACGATAAATAAGCTTCAACAAGAGATAACATTGTATGTGAGGTGGCCACGAAGGACTTACACTGCTGAAACGCATGATGCAGAAAATGTATTACACTGCTAGAACGCACGGTGCAGAAAATGTATGAATTTCGGGAAATTTTATTTTGGGAATCAGTGTAAAAATTTTTTACAGATATTAAAATCTGTAAATTAGAATATCTGATTCTATATTCTTTCTACATTAAAGGAGCGTTCATTTCGTTCGTTTATCATAAAAAATGTAGAAATTACACCATTTTTAGAAACATGCTTACAATTTCATTGCTCTAGAAGGGCGGGCATTTAAATAAACTCCGTCCAGCTGCCCCTACCGGAAATTAAATGGCCCGTCCGATAAAGGTTAATAGCCGAAACATGTAGCAGAGCCAAAACTAGGCACTGATCTTGATATTAGTTGTGTTGTGACGGTTGTAATAAAGAGGTTGTATATTATAACACAACAGGATGCATGAAATGAAAATACATTTCACTGTTTAGGGGGAAGGAAACTGATGCATGCCCTGTTGACTTTGAACTAGAAGCATGAAGTGTAACATAAAAATAACAGAATTATCTCTGTTACATGCTGTAGGATAGGCAACTGTTGCTAGAACATTAGACTCACTGTATCCAGACTGAGAAATATGCACTGTGAAAGAGTTAATTCAGACATCTGAAATCAGCTATGAGCACAATGACCCACTAGTCACTCCTCTGACAGAAACAAAATTATTGACCATTTGGTTTCTCCCAGTATGTAAGATACAGGACGTTCATAATCCAAATGCTCCTAAGAATTCAGAACACTAGAGATTCTGTTAAAGTTTTAATTTTGAGTTACTTTTCATCTCCACACATCTATTCTTACATGCCCTCTTCTCAATACAGACAGTATAGAAATGTGACATAGAAGAAAGTTGTTACTTGTCTTTTGAGGTTACTGGTCATGTCATGTTTTCTTGAAATTAATACAGGAAATAGCACTAATTGCCGGTCATGGTAGCCAAGCAGTCTAAGGCATGCGCTGTCTTCACTCGCTCGGAAGCCGGGATCGTGGGTTCGAATCCCACTCAGGGCATGGATGTTTGTGTACGTTTTTATGTGCTTGTGTACAGGTAGAGGCCTTGCGACAAACTGATCACCCGCCCAAGGAGTCCTACTGTATGTGTAAGATCTAGAAAAACCGAAGTGAACGGAGAAGTTCATGGAGGTAGGCCTAGGCCCACTGGGGCTGTAGTGCCAAGGAAAAAAAAAANTATATATATATATATATATATATATTTCATTACAGTAGAATCTAAATAAGTTTCAGACTAAATAACTGAGCTATAAAATTAGATACACGAATAAGCCTATAGGAACTTTCTTAAATCAACTGTAATTAGTTTCCTTTCAGGATTGGATCTTGTATTTATGTTATTCAGATAGTTTATCACTCTTTATAGGGCTATTTTTTTAAATAATTTTAATTTACTTCATGCAGAAACAATAAAGGATTGTTTCACGATAAATTATCACAACTTTTAGATGTTTTAAGTGCATAGAAAATATTTTTGAGTATTTATTATGTAGTGGGTATGTTATTTATTCTCTTATGAATGTCTTGTATAATATACAATACAACAGTGTGGCATGACTTGACTATTAACAGTACATTTAGATGCAAATATTCTGAACTCTGTAGTGCATAGGTACATGAGGATATGCCATGAATCTTCTGACAGGCAGTTGCTAGAATTTGGAATACCAGTGTCAGTTGAATTCACATAATTGTGTACAGTGCAAAGCAGATTAGATTCATCTGCCCTGAATGCAAACAAGTTCCTTAATGTTAAAACAAAACCACATATTAAACTTTGACAAGGCTGTGCAAGGCTATACCATGCTGTTTTGTAAACAGTGAATAAAGCTTACAAGAGAAAGCTGTGAATTCGTGATAAAAAGCAAAAATGTGAGAAATCAGATACTTTGCATCACTGTGTCATATCTACTACTACAAGGCATTTGGCCCAGTGTCCAAAACACAAAGGCCCAGTTGCCACATTTGTCCAGCCTTTCCAATCCATTTGATCCACAAATCAGTTTAGTCCAGAAGTGAATAAGGGTTACACAGAATGCAGGTCCTTTCAAGCTATACCAATAAAGCAATGAATGTAATTCACTCATGATCTTTATTTCCAGTGGAATTAAGAGAAAGAGTAAACAAATCAAATATTAGTGAAATTTTAATCTTCTTTCTTGTTAACTGCAGCCACATTTGTTTTCAGCCTATATGAGATACTTTGTAAATAGCTTGCCAGGCAGTTTTCTTCTCTGTATTCTTGATATCTTAGCATCATTTCCATAATGTGCTATTAATTTCACTGACAGTGTCGACTGACATTTGGATGTGTTTGCCTCTGGCGTATTACAAGTTGAATAATGTCATGTTCATTTTTAAACACTTTTGTGAGCATAGATGTGATAGATGGTGGACAGTCATGATTCTCCAAATTTTCCGTGCCAACCTTCACGTAATTGTTTGTGCCCTTTTCTCCATAATTTAAGGGGTTTTCCAGAGTTAAGTAAATCACTAAACACAGTGGAACAATACCATCATGATGATACAGCAGTAGTTGCTATGCATAATAATATAATTTTAAATATATGGACCATATATTCACAGGACTATACAAAATTAAAATATATGGCCATATGACCTTCCTGTTCCAGCATTTCTGACTCGACCATATCATATGGATGAAATTATACATGGGACATGGACCAATCCACAACTAACTTATCTGCCTTCCTGTGTGTACTGAAGGACTGGTAAACTAGAAGACCTATACTCCAAATTTTAAAAAGAATAGTCCCTTGTGTATTTGCTATTTTTCTCACTTCTCTTGCATTGGTATCTTATTCATATTTCTTTCAAGCAGTAACTGAATACATGAAACGGATGTACAAACTTTTCAGGGTTCCAAAGGAACAGAGTTCCACCAATAGCAAGCTGCCTGTCTGTTCATGTCCCCTCATTTTGACCTGTGCTATAGACATAACAGAAAAATGTTATGAACATCATGGCCCCAGAGACCTCTAATTTCCAGTACATTTTAACTTTTCATCAGCTATATCAAAATTGTACTTGTGCAAACTTGTGAGATAGAAGCATCTTGCAATTTTGTCCGATGATGGGTCTTGGAGAAGTGTTAAATCTGCATTAAGATGAATAACATAACAATCACATGAAGCATGTAGATAACATGACCATAACTCTTGAAACATTACTGCAATTTTTCATATCTGTCAATAGTATGAATGGTACTCATATGACAAGAAACCTTCAGAATCCTAAAATGGAACACTGTGTCTTTTTACTAGCTCTTTTAATTGATTTATGTCAACTGAACATTATACAGTGAAATGCTGAGCTACCACAATGTGAGGTGTACATAAAAATGTTTTAGAAACCTCTGTTGCATATGAATGAGTTCTGTAGCTGAAAGTGTATTGTAAGTTATATCTTTCATGTTATTTAATACATGTTGTTTTTTAAATATAAGTATCCATTCTGTTTTCATGTTGAACTGAAACAGGTTCCAGCACACGTAATCCAAGAACTGTACATTTCCTCATTTTTCATATTGCAATACCTTCCTGTCTTTCGTCTTGATCAGAATTAACTTTATTATTGTTTTTCTTCAGATAGTAAGGTTATGGTGGAGTCATTCTTTAATCTGTATTGATTTACTAGATGTTACAGGGTAGACCACCTGCTTTATATTTGGGAGGTTCCAGTATAGATCTTGGGTGACAGGCCACATATTGTGGAGTTGTCCCTCCTGTGAAATTTTGGCCCCAGATGTCCTCCAAAATTCACTAATCACAATAACTGTTTTTCATTCAATACTATATAACCAACACAATTTATAGTGTCAATAAGTATACCAAGGAAATGAAATTAACTCCCTGATGCAGGTAATGTACAGATACTCAGCTTAGTTGGCTTGTTCTGGACCTGGCTGAATGTTCATCACCATATAAACAAGAAGCCAGCAATGGACCTTCCCGTGAGCCCATTAAATCCAATTTTCAACTACATATAATTTTTAAAATATTATCCCTGTATATGTTTTAGTTCCCCATTTGGTTTATTCCCTTGGGGGTATCCTATCAAAATTCTGTACAAATATCCGGTTTTACTGTGTGCTACTTATCATACATGAATTTGTCAAAAAATAACTTCCCCAGTATTTTGTTCTCAAATGGTCTTCCCTTAGTAGGAGACCATATTTCATGCCTAAATTACAGTTAATATTATGGTTTCACATATTTTCTTCTTCAGATTTTTGGAGAGAAATTAGATAGAAAGACAACTAATAAAAATAAGAAGCCATATATTTTATGGGCAGAGAGTAAGTTATAAGTTATTTACAGTGGTTTATTAAAGCATATGAATAAGTTTTTGCTGTGGATTAAGCACTAGACTGTATCAGTGTTACTTGTGTTGGTGTCGAATGAATCACACTGCACTGTAAGTTTTTATTCTTCAGCCACTGCATTTGTGGTGATGGCCATCTCTTCCACATTATCAGACTTAGAGAACACCATTAATAATCATCATCAGAATCAACAGCTGCACGACGACGGTCAAACTAAAGCCAAAAAAATACAATAAATCCAAATTAAAAAATGGTTTGCTTTAGTCACTGTTTTGTTTATGAATACCAATTCAGAGTTGAACTACTCTTTCTGTAAACTTACCTTAACTGTTGTGCGCTGTTGCATCTGCTCACTGACTTTTTCTAGAATGTCTATTAATTCACTTTCATTGAGTTTGCCCATTATTTGGCCCGTGCGAGCCATTTGAATAAGCATGTTCTCCACCAGCTGGCCTTTTTCTGGTTTCCCGATCATCAGTGTATTAACTGAAAGGTAGAATTTACAAAACTCCAATAACAATGCAAGATAAATGAACCTACAAAATTAGAACACTGTGAAAAGGTGATTAAATATCATATAAGAAATCTCTTATAAATAATGTCAAGATACTGAACTGAGACATCTCAGACTTGTGGAATGCCCCATTCTTCAAAACAATTTCTTGGGATAGTCACTTATCCCCAGTATTTAAAGTTTTTGAGTGTTTAAAGTACCACCTAATTTTGAGAATTTTAAATGTAACTGTACTCTTGAACACATCTCAGAAATGTTAATTGTGCTACTGGTACGCGGTAGTGCAGTTGGTTGAGTCACTATGCTACAAGCCAGAAGGTCACAGGTTCAAGTCCTGATGAGGTCATTGGATTTTTCTCAATTGATGTAATCCTTCCAGCTGCACTGTGACCCTGGGGTTGACTCAGCCTCTAACAGAAATGAGTACCAGGAATATTCTTGGGGGTAAATGGTAGCTGGCATGTAGGGCTGACAGTCTTGCTGCCATCTATGAGCCAATGGTCTAAAAAATGTGGGAACCTCAACATCTCACAACCCTACGGGCCTCCACGGCCTGTTACAGGGATACCTTTACTTTTACTTTACTGGTGCAAAATTTGAATTTTGTAAACTAAGATCCAATACTGCTGAAGTTGATCTTATAATTAGTTAGTTTGGGGGGGGGGGCAAATCAACCTGTTGCATGTTCCTGAGTCTGGTATTCAAGTTTAATATTTTAGGTGATTAAGTGGCACAATTTTGAGTGGGGTAAGATGGAGTCCCTTGGAATTGTGACTTCAGATCAGCCCCAGATGATAAGAGGAGTATGGAACACTGGTGGAAAGAAAGTTGTCAGAGGACAATCAAAGTGTGCAGAAACCTGCCTTCGTGCCAGTTTATCCACCACAAATCCCACATAGACTACCTTTGGGCTGAACTGAGGCATCTGTGACCAGAAGCTGGCAACTAACTGCCTGTGTTAACACATAAAGGACCGGTCGCATGATATCATGCTTTTCACTTTTAAACATGGCAGACTGGTCACATGATATCATGATTTTAGGACACGTTAGGTTGCGACACACTATACCTTGCTCTGTTGCCACGCAGCTGCATGACTACTGTGTAATAAAACTCTGGAATGTTTGCTTAGTATTCAGTAACATGACCTCGCTGTTATCGTAACCCATTCCAAAGGAAAATGCCTTTTGTCGGTCTTCAAGCTGTATGTACCAGCCAGTAAGTTAGTAGTAGAATATGGATCAAGGGCGAATTCTTCTCCGATGAGCTAGCTTATGTGACTTGTGAAATGCGTAGTGATGGTGACTCAGACAGTGGCAGTGGACAACAAAGAATTGTGGCCACAGACAATAAAAGTGACAGTAGCTGCGATGAAAATGCGGGTAGTAACATTGCAAGGACAGCAGAAAAATCTAAAAAAATCACAAAAATCTAAACCCTGATTCAAAATTGAAATATAAAGCATTTCTGACGAATGTGGCAATGGCCTGGGCTACAGACCAGATGGTGGCGGCAGAACCAGAGTCAGACACAGACTTAGTGCAACCGGGCCCATCAACTCCCACCCCATGCAAGCCTCATGTGGACCTCCCAGGGAGACTCTCGGGCGATATGTGGAAACATGCCCTCGTGAAAATTGTGAGGAGTGAACATTCCAAGGGGAAGCGTCCTAGGCAATGCCATGTTTGCACAGCTCACAAAAAAAGGAGTATGACTGTCTACATTGCAAGTTCTGTGTAATGCTACTTCATGAAGGGGAATGTTTCCAGAAATATCACACTCTCAAGCACTTCCAGGAGCACTGGTAAATGTTCTCAAAAAATTTTAGTTAATAAAATTAATTAGGAGATTTTATATTAATTTTTAAAGTGAACAGTGCACAAGTTAGGATAGTAGGTTTAATAATACTGGTCCACAGGGTGATTTAAATATTTAAATCGCCAGTCTGCGAAGTGTTAAGAGTGTGACATTAAGGGTCAAATAGTTATGTATAGTCAGTCATAATCCATTCACAAGTTTCAAGGTACATTGGCCTCTCACTGCTACGAAGGCCTCAGTGATAACTTACGTCGTGCCCGTGCTGACTGAGTGAGGACCTGAGTGAGGACTGTGTTTTTCATCTCATCTTGTTCCCGCTTCCTCCTCTCTTCTGTTCCATTAGCATCTGAACCTCCCTGTGTAACAAAGTTTTAATTACTCAAAAGAGAGAACAGTGTCACCATGTTAGGTAAGGTGAGGAATATTATACTTAAGCATCCTGTTGCACTCTACACGATAAATGATACAAACTCCGTCCCAAGTGCAAACAATATATATTATATGTCTTTGATCTTGTTCTCTTCCACACTACATGTTTCGGCCTCTATCGGCCATCATCAGGTGTATACTCTTAACGTTGCTGCCACACTGAACCCAGCCTAAAATTTAACATTTAAAAACACATTGTTATTTTCTTCGTATTATCAACATCTACCTCGTTGATATGTGTCTGGTATGTAGATTATATTGCACACGTCAAATTTGATTTTCCTGTAGTAGCACTATAAAATCTTTAGTTAATTTTAAATTTTAAATTTAAAATTTAGAGAAATTTTAAATTTAAAAATTAGGGAAATTTTAAAGGATTTTAAAATCATAACTAAAGATTTTATAGTGCTACTACAGGAAAATCAAATTTGACGTGTGCAATATAATCTACATACCGGACACATATCAACGAGGTAGATGTTGATAATACGAAGAAAATAACAATGTGTTTTTAAATGTTAAATTTTAGACTGGGTTCAGTGTAGCAGCAACGTTAAGAGTATACTCCTGATGATGGCCGATAGAGGCTGAAACATGTAGTGTGGAAGAGAACAAGATCAAAGACATATAATATATATTGTTTGCACTTGGGACGGAGTTTGTATCATTTAAGGTGAGGAACTTCTAACACTGAGTTTAGAAATACATTTCTCTCTCTGGTAACAGATTCAATGATAAAGCCCTAAACAATTGGACCAGTTCAGTATAATTCAACCCAGTCTTCATGAGATAGGTCAGCCAGTCAGTATGGAGACTGGTTATGGGCTGGACAATTGGGATTGATTTCTGTTAGGGGCAGAGATTTTTCTCTTTGCTACTACATCTAGCTTGGGTGTTGGGCATGGGGCTAACAACTCCTCACTATAAAAAATAAGCTCGTTACGAAAATGTTCACAAAGCCTCAAACCTTGACGGTCTGTATATGGCACTTGAATTACAGTGGCATAAATGCTACAGGCTGGTTATAACTGGAAAAGTACTGAAAGGTGCTTAATTCATTAAGCACCATGCTACAAAGACACGGGGGGAGTGATTGTATAGATCTACATATTCTTGACGTCACTCAAACTCTGGTTGGCCCCTTGGCCATCCAGCCTATAGCCAGTTGCTGTACCAACTGCACTATCGGGTTCATTAAAGCAACACTGTAATGTGAAGCATGGCCAACTGGACCTCAAGCTGAACATCACAATACTGATACGCACAGTAAAGTTTAAGCACATGAGCAACTTTACTCCTTAGTCTTCCAAGAGAACTTTCCATTGAACTGCTGTATTTATTTTTCTCCCTACAGTTGTTCATGTTCCACAGTATAACTGCCATAATAAAACTTGATGTAAGAATATTCCCTAAGACCATGATACCAGACCACAGTCACAAAGCTTTAGAACTGGAAACAGTGCTGTGTGAGATTGTAAACAAAACATCATATAAACAGTTCTCAGAGTGAAGGTTGTTTCCTTCTTACAAACTGGTGATTGAACTCGAATTCTGATTCTAAGTAATTATATGAAAGAATGGAATGGAAACACCCTTGAATATGTGCGATAATCCACTGCCATTAAAAAGAGCATACCTCAAGGCTATCTGTTCTGCTAAAGATTAGCAAAGGATTCTGTTTTCAGAGATCCAGTGGCTTTGCCAAGCAGCAGATGCAGAAATGCATGTTGTATGGTAAGCATTTTCTTCCAATCCAGTAATTTCCAAGCTTCAGCACTGCAAACCATTGACTTGAAAAATCGGAATATGTAGACCAACATAGAGATTCATTTTCCTCTAGCCTTCCTTCCATACATGTCCCTTTGTTTCTGGTCAGAAACTTGACTTGTATCATCCCCATGCATGCTAAACTGCCCTGTTTTCAAATCTGTACCAAGAAAAGATTATGGCTGACACGCTAGTCACGTTTTATTAATATTATTATTATTGCTATTACTATTACTACATATAGAACTAGGACTTTTACCATCCTGACGAAATGCAGCCCTTTGATCGCTTGTGCCAAGTGTGGGCATCACATGACATAACCCAATTTAATATAACTACATACTAATTATACCTAAGTCAGAAAATATGTAAGGGTAGAACAAGCAAAACAACAGTTTCGACTAAAAACGCTTCCTACTCGATGTTATTTCACTCCAACTTTTAGCATTATTCGCCATACCAATAATACGAAAATAAATTAATAAACTTTGCAGTCTTTATACATTGCATTCGGGTAATAAGTTTCAGTAAAAATGTACTGTGTGAAACCATATAAAATCCTTAATTCACCCTGTACTGTGATTCCAGCTGAGCCAACCGTTTGGCTCTAATCTGTTGCAAATCTTCATCTTCCATTACTGTTCATGGAAATCAAGCAAATTTTCGTAGACACTTATTGCACACGGTAGCCTAACCACAATCCGTGCTTTATGTTTCGCTATACAATATTTACGTAAATCTACACAAACTATTATCGCCACGATCGCCACCTTCGTCAGCAAACATTTAACCAAAGTAATTGGTACTTGTCTTGCAGGATTTGAGGTTCTCACAGTTGCTCACAGTGCTCCTCCTCCTCTTATTGTTTTGATCTTCTTCTTCCTCTTCTTCTTGTTTGGCTGGTGCTATGATACCAAAATGTTCTTATCCTTCTTATCGATCGTGCTCTCGGCACTGGCGACGGCCATTTCGTATCAGTAGACTCATACCTGCGTAGAGATGACAGCAGTAATTATCTCGGGACGTCGCGACGGTCTCAGCGGCCATGGTTGCCCACCCTGTTATTATTGAGTACCAAGGGTTGGTGATCCGTGTTGATCGTGTTGATCAGCGTAGTTTTTGTAGATGAGATATGGCGAAGTGTGGTAGTTCTTCAAGTACGAAAGGATCATTTAATTCGGCAAGTTCATTATGGTGTTCCACATAATATTTCAGATTCTAATATCTCGAACAAGTTTGGTCTGTTAATTCAATGCGTACATTTTCCTAAATCAGTGAATACCTTTTGTAGACATAACGTGTAGAAAATAATTGACCTTTTCGGAAGTATACATGTTCCAGTTAATGACTACGTAGGAGTAACATCACTTTATTGACGGAGATTTTAGTGTGGCAAGAATAGTCTCCTATTTCATTTTTGTGTTTTAATTAAATATAACTTCGTAAAGGATATGTTCACAGCATCCAGATCGGCTAAGAGTATGTGGGTGTATGGCTCCACTTCCTCATACACCTTCATGGCATGATGCCTAATTAATTAAGCACATGGACAATTTTGCCTTATGTGATGTGTTATGTTTAGATTATTCTGGTATTTCTACTTGTAAGGGTTAGTTGTACATCACAGTTTCTTCTTTGATATGTTATAGGATTCAGATGTGCATATTACATATGAAGATCAGCAGAAGATAAACAAATTTGCGCGTCACAATGCAAAATTAGACGATTTCAAGGATGAGCTCAAGGTTAAGCAGGTAAATTTAATAACTTCCTCCTAGTGAAAACGTTTTTCAGCTGAAGCGCATTGACTACGTAAAAGCTCATTTAGCGTATAACCCTTTAAAGACCGAATATCTTCTAAATAATATATAAAAATTTAGTTTGCACTTCACAGGAAACATATTATGTCTCCACTGCAAAGGCAAACCTGCTAATGCTGTTTGGGGAAACAATCGCTGTTTACTCTGAGAACCATTGGAAACACAAAAGTACATTTTTGTAAGCAGAGTGAACAGTTTTGGTATGTTGAAACAGGTGGTAGTACTAGCTATTAGCTGCTAGAAATGGGCCATAATCTGCTCTACTGAGCATGGAGTGACAGAGGCCCAGTATATATTTTATATACAATTATTAACATGTAAAATATAAATATCCTTCACAGTATTACAAATGACTTACTACTGCATACAATGACTCTGACAAAAGATAGACTTGTCCTCATGTCAGGCAGGGCGCCCCACAATAACAAGACCACAACTGCCAAACAGTAAAAAATATCTGGTCATGAGCCCCAGATGGGGCTTAACTAACTGACCGACCTACAGTCAGTCGCAATGTGACTTTGACTTTGATGATTAAATTAGAGCTGAGTTGAAGAAGAATTAGAAGTCAAACTGTTAGGACCTAACATGCGAATTGAAGACTATGTGAGCTATAATTACAGTAATTTGGAGAGTGTTATAATTAATTGTAGTTACGACTAGTGAATATCCAATAAACCGATTCACCAATCCAAACCCCGTTTTCAGTCGCATGATACACATGACACGTAAATCATCCCAATACAGTTTTTTTTTTAAAGAGCGTGATAAATATGGGAATCACCTTGTGTAATAAGGTCCCTGAACAGATAAAATTAAAGAAAAATTTTAACTATTTTTAAGAGGGCCTTAAAATCCTTAATGTTAGAAACATTCCATTTATTCAGTTGAAGAATTTATGTCCCTTCAATTCTTAATTGAGTTTGTTATGGTTTTAAGTTATGACAAATATCTTGTCCTCACTTATTCTATAAAAAAAATTGGATGCAGGGTTTCCTTTGGTTATTGCATTGCTGCAAGTGGGATGATGTACTGTATGATTGGTGTGTATGAAATCTGTAGGTAGTTAAGTTTTATAGGTTAGTTGACTCATGTACAATATATAGGTTTTATTAATATGTAGTTACTAACTTGTTCTGTATCCAGAGGTTTATCACCAAATATGGATTCTTGGAACAAATAAATTGATTGATTGATTAAATCCCATATTTTGTGATTTGGAGCATGTTTTGCATTAATATTGTAGCTTCATATTGCTGTAGCAGTATGTTAATTGTGACAGTGATCATGAGTAAGTCTGCAAATTAGTCAGAAAATTTGTGGAATTTATACCTTGACTTGTAACATCTGACATCCCACAGAAAACAGTTTACTTGGTATATTTCAATTTTGAAATTGTTTGGCTTGAGTTTGATGCTGTTGATTTATGGGTCTGAGATTGAGATGAAGATGTTAGTACACTTCATGCAAATGAATGTTATGTTCATGTGTTTGAAAATTTACAAGCAGAAGTAATGATTGTTGGTTGGTACATTGGATTTACAAGTATTACATAATTCGATAGCTTAGATATGGCTATAATTAATAAAAGTTATATTATATTCAGTTCTTGTATCCATTACATATGTGTGTACTTTCCAGAATGAGTTGAAGAACATTGAGGATGCTTGCGATGAATTGATGTTAGCTGATAGTGATGAAAATATTCCATTCTTTATGGGAGAAGCATTCATATACCATGGTATGGAAAAAACACAGGTACAGTACAGTTCTGCTGTGTGAACATCTTTGTTACATCTTCACATAACACCATCTTCTAGTAATCAAGCTATAGAAAAACAATGGACTTCATGGTACAGATCTTCATGAGCAGTTGTAGTAACTCAGGTATTCCAAAATTTCTTGTTACAGTACCTCAAGTTGTATTATTGCAATCATAGAAGCCCACCCTAGGACCCTGTTTGTTTCACATTTTCATTGCTGAGAGGTTGATGTAGCAGTAATACTCTCTACTTGTGTGTGGGAAGTAATGAAACCAGATCTTGATTATTTTTGTTATGTTTTGTCAGGACAAAAGCTGGGATCATACCATGCAGTAGCTGACAGTCAATTTTCATATCCATACCAGCTCATTTTTTATGATTGTCTTACCATCACCTTTAATGCTGTATAATTTCTGCAGTTTAAATGGTGTCGTTAATGACATAAGAATCAGTTACATGTCCATAATCTATTTTTCTAAGATAATTTTTAATGGTATCCTTCAATTTGCGGGGCATGCGGTAGCGTAGTTGGTTGAGGCACTATGCTGCAAGCTGGAAGGTTGTGGATTGAATCCTGATGAGGTGAATTTTTTAAGTTGACCTAATCCTTCCAGCCACTATGGCCCTGGGGTTGACTCAGCCTCTAACAGAAATGAGTACCAGGAATATTCTTGGAATGTTCTTGGGGGTAAAGGGCGGCCGGTGCATAGGGCTGACAACCTTACCGCCATCTATGAGCCGAGAGTCTAGAGAAAATGTGGGAACCTCAACATCTCACAAACCTATGGGCTTCCACGGCCTGTTACAGGGATACCTGTACTTTTACTTTTTATCCTTCAGTTTGCACTTGGTGGTCCAAGCAGTTCTTTACTTCAAAATCAGACTTCTCTATAATGAATTGTTTCATTTTTGGTCCGTTACACTATCAATCACAAAGTCAATAGAAAGTCCGTCGAGTGTAACAACTTGTAGGTCACTTCTTTATCACTTCTGCCTTACATGTTTCGGTTTAACACAACCATCATCAGAGGCACATAGTACAATCATGAAAACACTGTCGTTGTTTAAGATGTACACAGTTATGTTTGCTGGGTGGACGCTGCTACAATATGTCGACGTGTAAAAGCACAACACTTGCTAGGATTGTTGAATGCACTATCAATTCTCACATTTCATCTGAAACTGCCCTCAAGTTAAAACGCCAATGTTAAAACATTTAAAAAATTTAAGAAAATTTTTTTTTAAAACATTTGATGTAAAATGTTAAGCTCCTCCTTGTTAATTCATCCCGAAGATGGGAGATGTCAGCTTGAAGTTGTATGGCTTATGGTTAGATGTTTCCTATGTGCTGTGTGTACATTCAACAGTCCTAGCAAGTATTGTGCTTTTACACGTCGACATATTGTAGCAGCGTCCACGCAGCAAACATAACTGTGTACATCTTAAACAACGACAGTGTTTTCATGATTGTACTATGTGCCTCTGATGATGGTTGTGTTAAACCGAAACATGTAAGGCAGAAGTGATAAAGAAGTGACCTACAAGTTGTTACACTCGACGGACTTTCTATTGACTTTGTCTCTATAATGAATTTATTTGCTCTGCAGTTGTGAGTGCTTCATGCTGGTGGTGCAGGATCCATATAAACATCTGTGTCTCTTTCTTTCTTTTTTATGTTTTTGTGGTTGTGTTTTTTTTGTGGGGGGGGGGGCTTAATCTGGTCAGTGGCTTGGCTGTTTCTTGACTCATCAAGGTCATTTGCTTGAATGTGTGATACACCCCTAGATCAGGTTTGTTTTATTTTAATTTTGAATTGAACTCTGTCAGGGATGTAATTTCCCATTTGACAAATTACGATAATTCGTCACACTGAACTGTGGAACAGATTATCATATTCATTTGATTTTCTGCATTTTGGTGCATCACATTGGCAGTGTTACAAAAGGCTAATCAACTCCGTCCAGTGTGACTGATAAAATGTTTTTTATTTCTTTCCTTTTTAATCTTTTATCCTTGACTTGTTTTGGTCTTAGAGACAATCTTCAGAAGGATATATCAATGTGGGCAGAAACTACTGTTACAATGTATAGTAGTAATAATAACAGTAGTTTCTGCCCACATTGATATATCCTTCTGAAGATTGTCTCTAAGACCAAAACATGTCAAGGATAAAAGATTAAAAATCATCAACAAGACGAAAGACGCTACCAGTTAATAGAACAGATAATTTTTTATGGTAAGCTTGAACATTAACAGAGTAATAAATAGGCCAGATAACAAATTAGTTTTTAAGAAAGTTTCTGCAAATAATAACGAATGTAATAAGGTTAAGTACAAGGTATCCTTCATGGTATACCATCAAAACATCAGGTCAATACGAGGTAAAACTGATGAATTGTTAAGTATATGGTTTGATGCATACCCCCATGTACAGGGTGTTCCAGACTCAATTAGGCAGTTTTGATCATTAATAACTAACCAATCCAACAACACACGGGATAATGTTGTCGATAGATGGCAGCATCATACAGTATGCTGTGAACGAGGTCAGTACTCTGCCTACTTAGTGCGCATTGAGGAAACGTCATGGCCGGTAGACGGTTGTCTATCGAGCAACGTGTAAAATGTGTGCGCCTTTTCTCAGTTACTAACATTGTATCAGAAGTCCAGCGCAGGATGTTGGAAGAGTTTGGACCGCCAGCAGTCCACAGGGACACAATCGTCCGAATAAACAAGCAGTTTGATGAAACTGCCAGTGCTTTGAATCCCAAGCATCCTGGTCAGCCAAGAACTGTCCGAACTGCTGACACACAAGCACGTGTCACTGCGGAACTGGCATCATCTCCTCAGAAATCGAAGTCTACCCGCCGTTTGTCAGCTCTACTGGACATTTGGAGGACAAGTTTGCGGAGAGAGTTGAGTGACATGAAGCTGACGCCATACCATCCACGCCTTATTCATGTTCTTAACGAGGACGACTTTGACAGGCGACTTGAGTTTGCCAAGTTGGTGCTGACCAAGTTTCAGGATAACCCTGACCTTATCCGGAATATTGTCTGGACTGATGAGGCCAGATTTCACACATCAGGATCGGTCAACAGACACAACTGCATGTTTTGGTGGCCAGAGAACCCCAGTGCCACCATTGAATACAATTTCCAGTCCCCGGGAGTGATGGTGTGGGGCGGCGTGACGTACGAAGGACTGATTGGCCCGTTCTTCCTTGAAGGTTGCATCATGGGGGAATCTACCTAAAGTTGCTGAGGGAAAGTGTCATCCCAGAACTTCAGAGGCGAGAGAACTTTGATGAACTGTGGTGGCAGCAAGGTGGGGCCCCACCACACTTCGCCAATATTGTTAGGGCGTTTTTGCATCAAGTTTTTCCTCAACGCTGGATTGGCCGTCAAGGGCCTGTGGAGTAGCTAGCCCGTTCACCCGACATCACCCCACCAGACTTTTTCCTTTGGGGTTACCTCAAAGACAAGGTGTACGCTAATCCCATTGACAGTGTGAAACATCTGCGTGAGGTGATTGTTCAGAGTTCAATAAAGTTCCGGTGAATATGTGTAGAAAGGCGTGTGAAAATGTTGCTTTGCGTCTGCAAGCCTGTGTTGGCTTAAGGTCCTCGCCCACTAGCACAGTGTCGTATCCGCGCAGTGCAGAGCGAAGGCTGCAGACGCATTGCTCTCCGTGTATTTAAATGGGAGTGCGCCCACTAGAGTAGGGTCGTGCCAGTGTAGTATGGTATGGTATAGTGTAGTGTCGTCTCGGTTGCTCGAAGAGGCAAACATTCTGCACGGCAGTGTCATGGCGGCACGCCGCATCCTCCTCCACACATACCAAAACGCTTTTTCATTCCTGGGTTGAGTGTCAATGAGGCAAGACATGGCGTTCGAGGAAAGATTAATCTCTGCTGTACAAGAGTACAGTATCCTCTACGACTGCAGTCATGCCTACTATTATGACAGCATGAGAAGAGAAAACGCTTGGACGGAGATTGGCGAAACGCTGAACGAATCAGGTAGACTAATAATTAGTATGCAATACATGAATGAAAACAAATTGCATATATAATGTTTTAACCCACGGTCTACAGTAGGCTTCCCATGCACGTGAGCCCTGGTAGCATAGTAGGTATAGCAACTGCCTACAGGCTGGACGACCAAGGAGTCAGAGTTCGAGTCCTGGTAGGGTCAAGAAAATGTGGATCTATACATCCACTCCCCCATAAGCCTTTAATGGCGTCGTGCTTTCATTCGTTGAGCACAGGGACAACTGTACCTGTACCTTCCGTGTACAAACAGTATAGTTAGGTACTACTTTGCGACATATTTGTGATTTTAACACTAGAAGTGACTGTGGCAACTGCTGTATTGAATCACACATACTATTTATGTACAATATACTTATACTGAAAACAACAAAATACAATCAATGGTTACGTTCAACAGCATAACACATTCCTCATGTGAAGTAGCATGATGTACAATGGTGTTCGTGCTAGTATAGTATTGTATTCCTCGCAGGTCCAGTATGTTAAATTGCGTAAATTCCTCTCCTTTGTCCCTAACATGATGGTTTAAGGATCATTGGGTAGTTGTCTCCTTCCACTGTACACCATATCACGCTGCCTGCACGTGAAACGAAGTATGTTTTGAGTTGCTCTCTAACAGCATACCCAACTTCGCTTGGTCTTCCCCCTATCCGTGGTATATCTTCAAGACCTAGCGATTCTACAGCTGCTTCGAGTTTTCCAGGCTGCCAGAGATATTCGTCATCACCGCAAAGGAAATTGTGCAAACAAGTTGTTGCCAAAATAACCTTATCCAAGTTGTCTGGTGATATATGTAGCTTTCACTGGTAAATTCGGAATTTCTTGCTAAGTATGCCAAAAGCATTCTCACTCACTCGCCTAAATCTGCTATGCCTATAATTGTAGATTTTGTTAGGTTCGTTGTTTACGACTTGGGGCCCAGGGTATGGTCGCATGATGTTTTCTTGGAGTGGGAAGGCCTCATCAGCAACAATAACATGTGGCAGAACTATTTCAGGTTCATTCGGTAAACTTTTAGGAACGGGTATGTCCAGTGTACCTTCGGTTAACATCTTCCCCAAACGAGACCTGAAGAAAACTGCACCATCGCTTGTCCTTCCATGGGCTCCAACATCAACAACTATAAACTTGTAGTCTGCGTCAACAAGTGCTAGAAGAACTATACTAAACTCCTTTTTATAGTTAAAAAATGTGGAGCCACTTCCACCTGGCTTTTCAAATACCACATTTTTCCCATCCATAGCACCGAGTGCGTTTGGGTACTGCCATTTATCCCATATTCGAGATGAAATATGTCCCCAGATTTCCTTTGTAGGTGGAGGCATAACAATGGGGCTCAGAACCTCCCAGATCACCTCGCATGTTTCATAAACGATTCTACGAACTGTTGTTTCACCCATCCTGTACGTTAGAGCAATGACTCGAAATGTGTCCCCTTGCCCCAAAAACTGCAAGAAAATAATCTGTTACAATATACAAAGCATTTTGATATCACATTTTTAACACTTCCACTTGCAATTTACCTCATGTTACATTCTTAAGAAAGTATTTTCTTTCAGCCGAGGAGTGTAAAAGAAGGTGGAAGTTATTAAGGGACGGTTACAGAAGGGCCAATTTAAAAAAGAAAACAAAAAGCGGACAGGCGACAATTTTTGTAAAGCCGTGGAAGTTCGAAAAACAAATGGCCTTTTTACATCCCACTTTCCAAGACCAACCACAGGTATCAAACCTGGGGTCCTCTGCAACACAAATGGTAGAGGACGACGATGAAGAAGTAGATGTCGAGAAGGTTTTGGACGACAACGTAAGAGAGCCTTCGCAATTCGAGCAGCAAACTCCACACACTGCAGGAGGAACTCCAACAGATCCTTCGCCTATAAGTGATACTGTTGTTCCTTCTCCTTCAGGATCGACATCTTCGTTGTATAAACGAAAAGCTGTTCGTCACTTAAGTGCAGGAGAGGTATTACAAAACTATTTGGCTACAAAACGAGAAGAAAAACAGAAAGAATTAAGACCAACCGATCAGTTATCAAAATTCTTTTCGGCTGTGGAGGAAACTGTACGTCAGTTACCTGTAGATCTGCAACTCGATGCAAAATCTCAAATATTCTCTATAGTGCTGGAACAAGAAAAGAAGGCCCTAGAACGACAACAAAGTCACAGCTATCCCACACAGTTTGCCCATTCCATCCTACCTTTTCAACAGCCATCCTATTCGCAGTCACTCCATCCCCCTTTACCACCTATGACCCACCACTCACTACATTCCATGCCAGGGTCCAGGCGACCCCATCCAGAAAGCCCAAGCCATTCGCAATACGCCATGTTTCGTCGCCATCATGATTTGCAAGATCAAAACCAACCCTGTGGAAGTACAGAACACAACAGTCCTTCCCCGGCAAATTAAACTTTGAACCTTCTATGCAATGAAACCAAAAATGAACCACTCCTGTCTCCATCACACATTTCATGTCTGTGACGCCGCACAATCACATATACATGTACTTATTATCGTTGTTCACAGATGTTTCATTTTTTCATGTAATTTAATTTCAATCAATTATTGTTCTATGTAAAGGGGCGATGGTTTGTTTTGTGTCACCTTACTTAATACGACTGTAAATACTAATAATATAAAATCAACTATCTGGCAATATAAAAACTTCAATGGGTTTGTCATTTAGAAAATAAGTGTGAGAATTAGAGTTACCTTAAGGTCACTGCTAACCGTTCTCTTGGGGTTATGGCCTCTCTAAAATTCGTGTTCTTCTTCTCTATGCGTGGCTCTATTGCTAATAATAGCTCACAAAATTTGGCATAGCTCATGCAAAAGTAGATAAAAAACTTTTTATCGTCTTCAGTTAGGTCGTGAAATATCGTGTGGAACTCCCCGAATTCGTTTCTTTTCTTGTTAATATCGTGCACCCATATTCGCTTTGGCTGATCCTCTTGTAGCACCATAGCTACACAAATTGTTTCTTCTTCCGAAGACGAGTCTGTCATTGCAATATTCTGTACAACATGGAGCGCAAGACTGCACGAAAGCGGACTTGGTTCAACTTTGAGGGGTAAACATAGTGGGTAACAACTTTGGTGGGGGGAATGCTTTCGGCCCCGTCTCTGACTCTGCACGCCTGCAGTGGGCGCACTCGCTGCAGACATACTACAACGGCACTGCACTGTTCTGCTAACCATACTGCTCTAGTGGGTGAGGAGCTTTAGGTGGTGCCCAGGTTGACCAGCATCTTGAAAATCTATGACTTACGTGTGTGCGATTCCATTTTTGTAACCATTGCAATTGTTAACACTTATCAATAAAAATAACATCTAATCAAGAACTGCTTAATTGAGTCTGGCCCACCCTGTACTTTGCTTATCTGAACATCACCTACGTGAACAAGAAATTAGTATGTTATGCTGTAGTCCATACCGATTGGCAGCTAAGTATTGCAGAAGTACTAGCAAGTCTGGAGGAGTATGTATTTATGTACATGAATCTTGTACTTCTTTTGGCTTATTTTGGACTTCACCCATCATCTGGTATATAAAAGACAAAAAACCACGAGGAGACTGGATATGTCTCCGTCTTCAGGTGGATAGGGAAGGATAAACCTACTCAGTTGAGTGGGCCCCCTAGAAAGAGCTAGTCTCCGTCACTGGATAAACCCCAATCTGTAGAAAAACAACCTATGAAAAACCGACAACCGGCTCCATCAGTGGGAGGAAAGAATAAAATCGCAGTAAAAACATGATAGAAAATTTGTGCCAAGCATGCACTTGTCAACAATGTAAAGAATCAGAAGTATGGGTTATATTCCATGAATTCAGTTAAAAACTGGATAATGCATGCCTAATCTGCGTGGATGAAGAATCGTGCCACCATGGCGACTTCCGGGAATCAGACTAATCCCCGGAAGAAAACTTGCAGGAGTAGTGGAACCACTAATATTCATAAAATTACATTTTTGGTTTGTTAACCTCTTGATTGATGAGGGGGATCCATATGGGAGAAATATCCAAACTGGGTTGGCTGATCGGATTGGATGAACATGCCATATGAGCTGATTCTTTGTATTTCCTGTATCTGCTGTTGCTTTCAACCTCCAAGATCCTAGCTTCATCCCAGCTTACCCTGTGACCTTCTTCATATGCATGCTGAGCCAACCTGGATTTCTCTAGAAGACCCTGCTTGAGATTGTGCTTGTGTTCACGGATTCGAACAGCCAGTGGTCTTCCTGTTTCACCAATGTGTTTGATTCACCAATTAGTCTGATTCCCGGAAGTCGCCATGGTGGCACGATTCTTCACGCAGATTAGGCATGCATTATCCAGTTTTTACTTTCCTTTTTAACTGAATTCATGGAATATAACCCATACTTCTGATTCTTTACATTGATGACAAGTGCATGTTTGGCACAAATTTTCTTATCATGTTTTAACTGCGATTTTATTCTTTCCTCCCACTGATGGAGCCGGTTGTCGGTTGTTCATAGGTTGTTCTTCTACAGATTGGGGTTTGTCCAGTGATTGAGACTAGCTCTTTCTAGGGGACCCAACTGAGTAGGTTTATCCTTCCCTATCCACCTGAAGATGGAGACAGATCCAGTCTCCGGGTTTTTTGTCTTTTATATACCAGAGGATGGGTGAAGTGCAAAATAAGCCAAAAGAAGTACAGTATACACCACCATCAGAATCATTTCAAGTCTATACATGAATCTTTATCATTTACAGCTTTTGACATGAATAAGTTTTGCAAAGAGCATGATTTTGAAGTGTGTGCCATCAAACTATATTTAATGTCTGTTGCTTGTTGTATAATATCAATCTCTAGATCTCCAACAGGGAAAATCCTGTATTTTATTAGCGATCTGGACTCTGTCTTAAATAAGCTCCATTCTACGTCCACAAATTTAATCCTCTGTGGCGATTTGAACATTAATTACCTCAGTAATAGCAACAGCAAAATCCAACTAGACTCCTTATTAACTACGTATAGTTTGTATAACATAGTAGATTTTCCGACAAGGATTGATAATAAATCTGCCAGGGCTATTGATAGTATTTTTATTGATAAATGTAAAATAAGTAATTATTCCTGTTGTAAGTGGCTTATCTGACCATGACGTGCAGTTGTTATTAAATAACTTCACATCTCAAGTCTTGAAGTATTACTAGTATTACTTTAAACGCCAGATTAATAGTATGAATATTGAGAATTTTAATCTTAAATTAAGTTACAAAACATGGGACGATGTATTCACAGATGGTGATGTAGACAATATATTTAATAGCTTTTTATATACTTATTTGAGAGTCTTTAATGGCAGCTTTCCTCTCTGGAAAATGTTTTGCAATTATGATAACAAAGCTTGGTTAACTGCTGGAATCAGAATCTCGTGTCTGCACAAAAGAAATCTTCATATGCTATGTAGGAGTATAGAAAGTCCTACTTTGCTTGCCTATTATAAAGAATACAGTAAAATATTAAGAGAAGTTATCAAAGCTGCTAAAAGAATATATTATATCAAATTGATTGTTAATTCTGATAACAAGTCTAAAACAATATGGAATATAGTAAATAATGAGACCAGTAAATATAATAATAATCATGACCCTCCGCCATTAATCAAGGATGGTAAAAAGATTAACATTGGTCTTCATATTGCAAATGCTATTAATGTATATTTTAGTACAATTATGGATAATCAATCCAATGGTCCTCATATAAACTCAGGGTCGAATGTCAGTAAAGATAAGTTTTCCCATTACTTAACCACAGTAAATATAGGACCCATGAGTGAATTTAAACATGTACCTGTAACTGGTAAAGAGATGAAAGATATTATCAAATCACTTAAAAACAAAAACTCCTTTGGTTATGATGAAATATCTTCTAAAGTACTAAAGTCTACCATGCCTTATATACTATCTCCACTTATTTATACAGGGTGTTTCACGACTATAGGGCATAACTGCAGGAGGTGATTTCCTATGTCTTTGTGATCAAAAAAGTTCATATAACTATGTGTCCGATTTTGGATGGTTATGGAGTTATGACTGTTTTAAACTCAGAATAGAAGGTAACGATTACTGAATAAACGGAACAAAATATTAAACCAGCATAATACATGATACATTTAAAGTATGAATGTAAAGTTAACTTTTTGAAATTACCTTTAATTTGAATTGATTGGTGCTTAAAGCTGATTTTCGAAAATGCCACCACTGGCCGCAACACAGGCTGCTGTTCGGTTGTGAACTGCACAGGTAGCATGTAGCAGCTTCAGCTGGCTGTTTCTTATGTGGTTGCGGCATCCAGAATGTGACCGACCAAAGAATCTAGCGTTGCCACCTTCACATTGTAAACCAGTTCTTTCTTCCATCCCCACACACAATAATCCAGTGGGCTTAAGTCTGGAGACCTGGCTGGCAATTCTTCGCATACTCATACGTGGACTGCGGTGTACCATACGAACAATGACTTCTTCCTTGACGCCTTCATTAACACCATGCTTGGCTGCAATACAAATGCCGGGAAGTCTACAGGTATCTCGCAATGCCTGGTAAACTCCAGTAAACACTCTCCGGTTTGGTATTGTACAATTCGGAAACCGTTGCTGATATTCAGCTACAGCAAGAACTGAGTTACCATCACAAAACCTGCACACATAAATCATTTCTGCATACTCCTCAAATGAAAATGTAAATGGCATCGTGAACATAACAGACACACCGAGATGAGAACTGTTCTGAACATCAGTAGCCGCCACACTAGCTGTGGCCTTACATACCAATCCACCACGCCTTAGGTACCGCTCAAGTGTCGAGATAACGAGAACGCTCTGTCTGTAGCTGGTTAAAAATAGCAACCTGACATATGTGAGACGCGGTTCACACGAGGGCGTGTACGGGAATGAAAAAACGATCATAACTCCATAACCGTCCAAAATCGGACACATGTTTATATGAACTTTTTTGATCACAAAGACCTAGGAAATCACCTCCTGCAGTTATGCCCTAAAGTCGTGAAACACCCTATATATGTAATAGGTATCTTTCTACAGGCATATTTCCATTACAATTGAAATATTCACAAGTGCACCCGATTTACAAAAAGAGTGAAAGGGCAGAAATTTCAAATTATAGGCCAATTCCTTTACTTTCTTCCTTTTCAAAAATATTTGAAAAAGTTATATACAATAGATTGCACACATATATATCTGACAACATCTTGGATACTGATCAGTATGGATTTAGGAAGTATTGTTCTACAGAATCTGCTACCTTTAACTTGATTTGTAATATCTTGCAAGCGTTGGATAGTAAAAGATTGGTTATGGAATCTTTTGTGATGTGACCAAGGCGTTTGATAGTGTGGATCACGAGATGTTTGCAAAATTGAAGTTTTATGGTGTGCAAGGAACATGATTGCTTCTTATTTGAACAACAGATATCAAAGAGTTATAATAAAAGAGAAATCATCTTGTAATTGGTTCTCGAACTGGGAATGAATGAAACTAGGAGTTCCTCAGGGATCAGTTCTTGGTCCATTGTTTTTGTTTCTGTATATAAATGATTTGCCGGCTGTAATAAGTAATATGTCGAAACCTACCTTGTTTGCAGATGACATTAATTTAATACTTGTTTCTCCTGAACTGATGCAATTAAAAGTAATCTTGTGGCTGTTTTTGAGAAGATAGTAGATTGGTTTCAGGCCAAATCATTGACATTGAATCTAAAAAGAACTCATTTTATGTACTTTAAAGCGAAAATGAGCCAATCTGACCAATCCACTTTAAGGTTTATGGACAAGCAAATAAATAGCACACATTGCATTGATTTCTTGGGAGTGACACTTGATTCGACATTATCCTGGCAAGGGCATATAACCAGAGTAATTACTAAGTTGAATTCTGCTTGTTTTGCTATTAGAACCCTCACATTGTTTTTAATGATAGAGAAGTTAAGGATGGTATATTTTGCATATGTTCGTTCTGTCATTACGTATGGTCTTCCCTTTTGATCAAATGCTGTTAATAGCAAAAACGTTTTTATAAAGCAGAAGAGAATTATAAGAGTTATTTTTAATGTGAGCCCCAAAATATCTTGGGGACTTTTTAGACATTCAAATATTTTACCTTTCTATTCTCAATACATGTCCTCCTTGCTGTTGCTGGTAGCAAAAAATGGCATCTAAATTTATAATTAGCAGTGAGATATATATGATAAATACAAGACAAAGCATTAACTTTTATTTGCCTTTGATAAACTTGTCCGAATGCAAGAAAGGTCCCTACTTTATGGGTATAAAGATTTGCAATCATTTGCCACGGGATAAACGGAAGGCTAATTGGATTGGTCATATCTTACTCAATAACTGCCTTCTAAAAGAAGTTATTGAAGGAAAGATAGAGGGGCGGATAGAGGTGACCAGAAGACGAGGAAGAAGATGTAAGATGCTGGATGACCTTGGGGACAGAAGAGGATATTTTCATTTGAAGGAGAACGCTCTAGATCACATTAAGTGGAGGAACTGTTTTGGAAGAGACTGTGGACCTGTCGTCTTGACAGATTACTGATGAATGAATGAATAAGGAAATTGCTATATGATGTTAATAAGTTTAAAGTGGTTACTAAGAAATATTTTTTGCAGGAATCTTTTTACTCAATAAATGAATGCTTCAAATGGTCTGATAAATAAAAACAAATTTTATTTACATTGTTGTTTGGGTTACACTTTTATATTGACTTACACACTTATTTTACATTTGTATATTATTTTTGCAGTTGTATGTGTATAATGTATCATATTAATGTATTATTGTATTACCGAATAGGCTGTAATGTCTTTGTATTACTGTATTACCAACTGACAAGGCTGCTTGTTATACGGTCACTATTGTATCTTATTTTATTGTATGATGACATCTTTACATCCTATGTGATGATCATTGTTATGGATTACTCGAAGAAAATAAAATGAATGAATGAATGAATGAAAAAGGAAAGAAATAAAAAACATGTTATCAGTCACACTGGATGGAGTTGTTTAGCCTTTTATAACTTCATATTCAGTCTTGTATCTGTAGTAATTCTGTGTAGCTGTTATGCTTTATGACATCAATATTAGGACAGTGCCCGCATGTTATTTCTTGGTTTTGTTATAGTCATTTTTGGAAAATTTTCTTCGGTAATGACAGAGAAATAAAGTTAAATGTTACATTTAAATTACAGCTGAAAGCATTCTGTGAATGAATATGTATAAGTTTCATAATGTTGTATTTTAACGTCCTGTTGCGCTGATTTTCATCCGTGATACGTATGTAATGGCCGTGTTGTAGCTCACTCAATTTCATATGTCACTTCTTACTACATGTTTTGGCAACTTAGTGCCATCTTCAGGTTCATTATTTACGCTAAGCTATTACATTGTTTGCCATCTTGTGTCTTTCATAAAATTATTTAGAAAGTACATTATTCATCAACTGTGATAAAATTTGTATATACTAAAACTTGTTAAGATTATTCATCTATATGTCTTAAGTCCAACTCGCGTATAGTATGGTTGTACAACACTCGCAACCAAAAAGGAAGGACACATCATAGACACAGTACACACAGAAACGACTCCCGTAGTGGACGAACCATACTATACGCGAGTTGGACTTAAGACATATAGATGAATAATCTTAACAAGTTTTAGTATATACAAATTTTATCACAGTTGATGAATAATGTACTTTCTAAATAATTTTATGAAAGACACAAAATGGCAAACAATGTAATAGCTTAGCATAAATAACGAACCTGAAGATGGCACTATGTGGCCAAAACATGTAGTAAGAAGCGACATATGAAATTGATTGCACTACAAGACGGCCATTACATACATATCATGGATGTATAAGTTTAGTTGTAATAATTATTTTTATTGGACTTCAGAAGTTTCTGGATAAATAAGTACTTTGACCTTAAAATGTGGCAGTTCAGAGTTGTAATTTTTATTTTGGAAAGTACGTGAATAAGTTTCTGAATTGTACAAAGGAAGAAGGTAAAGTGTCACCTCACTGAGGATAGTAGTAAGGTGTCAGCTTGTTTTTCTGGTTGTCAGTACTGTCAGTATTATTGCTTATTTGAATGATTAGTGTTTTTGTTGCTGCAGAAAAAATTGGAGGAAGCCAAGGCCCGGGTTCATTCTGAAATTGAAGATTTGGAAATGAAATGTGCAGAACTTCGCAGCAGCATGAGTGATATGAAAACACAGCTGTATGCTAAATTTGGAAATCACATCAATTTGGAAGCTGAAGATGATTAAGGAATATAGATGTAATACTGGGCTGTATATCTAAAATCCTGACATTTACATTTGTTCATATCTGATTTATTTTACAGTGTTCAGCATGTTTCAGTTAGAAAAATTACAGGTTGACATAACTGGAATGGGACTGATGCCAACTTTGAATGATACTGCCGTCTCTTGATATGCATACGTGTATTAACCACATGCAATCTTGAGCAGTAGAAAAGCTGGATTGTAACCTTAATGGCTCAGTCAGTTCAGTAGCAGGAAAAAGGCTGAAGGAAGTATGATTAAAGATCTTCCAGCAATGAAGCGTGTGTCGGGAGTTTCAAGAGACCTTGAGGTTATGGTGCAGCTTACTCAGATTTTGTGCTTTTGTTAGTATTTTCCCTTCTTAGTCATCATGTAATTTAATGTTAGTGATTATTACTAAATTTTGTCTGTTTTACATGTTTCCATTTGTTTATTTATAATGTAATTTTGTAAAATAAAATTATGATGTAAAAACATGTCTTATGCCTAGTAAACATTAACCAACCAGCTCCTTTATAGGGTTTTCGTTGTGCTGTTGATAGTTATTCAGCTTATTAAGAATTTGTGTTATGGAACCCTTAAGGTCCATCACTGTGTTCCCAGAAATTTGCTATTTGACTCTGAACCAATTTATTTTAATGTTCATATTCTCATCCTATTTCTGTATGATCTGTTCTTGTATTATCCTCACATCTGTGTTTCCCATTGAGATTTTCCAAGTTATATATGCCAGTCTACTTGATTTAATTACTATAAATATATTAGATGAGAAGTACAAAATGTGAAGCTCATCATTGTTATGATTTTCTACAGTCTGCTGTTAGTTCATCTGTCTAAGAATATTCTCATCACTTCCTTCTCATATAATTTCAATATCTTTTCTTCCCTCATGGTAGGAGACCAGCTATTGACACCTAAATAAAATGCTTCATAAAATTACCATATTGCTTTGAGTAAAGATGCACATTTTCTACATTTTTCCTGTTGAAAAATTGAGGCGCTTCTGAAATTCAAGGAATTATTTACCAGTTTGCAAACTCTCCACAAGGTAACCTGGAAGGAATATAATGTAAACAGATTTGGAGTCACAGGATGCTGAAATATAAGATTTGGAGTGAGTCATCAAGCCACATATTCTCCCCTCCCAAAACTTCAATTGTGAGTCAACCCCCAATTTTCAGTTCAGTCATTGTCTCACATTATTATCGATTGTGTGCTCATTTTCTATCAGTTTTTACCCATATAAAAGTGCTTTACGTATGATCCTGCATTCAAGAGAAAAATTATTATGTGTACTGAGAAGACAGGTAATCGTCCGACTGGTAGAAAGTATACAGTGAGGCATGTGTATGTCATTGGCGAAATGTAAAAAAAAAACTGTTTTCATGTCTGATGAATAGAAAGTCTTTCTGGACCAAAGAAAGGGAGAAATCTAGAGATTGATGCCTCTGTTTTAAGAATATTTGAAAGATTTACAAAATTAAGGATTACCTGTAACTAAGGAAGCCTTAATGACAAAAGTAAAGAATGCGCTAAAAACAGTTAATGTACCCTTCATGGTTAGTCATGGATGGCATGAAAAGTTTATGAAGAGAGCTTATTATTATGAGGAAGGATGAAAATTAATCAGAAACTTCATTCAGAATTTGAAAGTAAACTGATTGAATTTAATTGTTTTGTTATTAGCCTATGTCAAATCAGCAACACAGACAAAAATTCCTAGAGGCATAAGAAGTCAGTTGCAGCTACTTGAAGTATCGGTTAACAAACCATTGAAGCATCTTGTCGGTAAACACTATGATGCCTGCCTGAATAAAGACAATTTAAAAAGAGCATCAGCATCAATAATAGTGAGTGGATATCAAACTTAGAAAGAAGTGCAGGTCAGTATTACTGCAAAATCGTTTTCAAAGTGCTGTTTGCCTAATGCAGCTGGTGGTGGAATGCCAGGTGACACTCTTTTGGATGAAAGTGAGCAAATTGGCAAGGGTGCATCATCTTCAGAAGATGAAAATGAAAGTGAAGGATCACTGGATGAACTTTCTGATTGAATAAAAAAGATAGACAGGAATGTGCATGTAGTGAAAATTCTCATTTAATGCTGGTGTATTTTCCATTATTTTTCACTTTAAATGTGCTCTAAATATTTTATTGATATTCACAAGCACTTCATCTGTCCCAAAATTCAGAGTGGTTTGTTAATATGTATATTATTACCAAGTCCAACATGCTTGTAATGAGACAAGGGCATATACTTTTTTGTTATATATTTACACAACTTGTTAGTGTCTAGTGACTTCAGCACATTAATATGGCTGACTTGAATCTCAACACAGACTTTTTTTGGCTGGAAGTTCTTATTATTTCAGTACATTCCTTCTTGAATGCTAGTGCGGTATTCACAAGTTAACTCTTTTCTGTTTATTTCCATTACTTATGCATTCATTCTTTGGTGAGAGTTGAAGTTTAGAGTACACAGTTGTCATTCCTTGTGACTGAATCCCTCATTCATCTTGATTACTGATTATGGGTAATCATTTTTAATTATCTAATCGATGTAGAGACATTAAACTGTGTGGAGACTTTAAGTGCACTTCATATTGAAAACTTACACGTAATGAGATATATTTCAAGTCACCTCTCATTTTAATATTGTCACATATACCTGGTTGTGTGATGAATAATAATGGTTTCTGGACTAGATGAATAGCTTTATTGCACACTCACAAGCCATAACTACATATAATTATAACACTCTAAAGATTGCTGTAACTATAACACAAAATAAAAGACTTCAACATCTGCTTGGTAATGAATCTTATATGGTTAACACTTCAACTGTTGAACTGCCTTCTGAATTCTCTTACGAATGGCTTTCTGACTGCGTTGAACGAGGACTGTCTGACGAATCTCTCTGAAGCATCTCTCACTGCTGTCTGAACCTCTGACTGGTCTCTGCTCTCTCAAATTCACAAATCCACTGCCTTTTATAACTTCCACGTGGCTGGGATAGAAGTCACCATGTCTTACAGTTCCTCTGTTCTGTTGTGTTCTCATGGGAATGGCTTTGTGAACAGTCGTTGCCATGGGAACAAGTGTTTACCGTTGTCTAGCAATGGACGTCTGCTCCGGCCCCACCATTCCGGCTTTCAGCTGTCATGTCACATTGCTTCCCCCTTAAGGCTGTTCATCCCAAAGAGCCTACCGGTGTATCACCACCCCTTTTCTGAGGTTTCTCTTTGTGACGTTTGTGGCACAGTCTTTCCTGCAGTGACCCCTCTCCAACTGCTACCACCTCTCCCCCTTTAAGGCCGCTCATCCCAAGTGGCTCACTTCTGAGGTTCCAGGCATTCTAGATGCATCACCATCATACCAAAGTGTTTCTTTCAATGATCGGGGCAAAATGTCCCGAGTGGCTGGTGCTCCCACATTCTGGCTTAATTTACGCCAACAATGCTAGTATGTTCTTCTGCCATTTCAGAGGCGGCTGTCACCTCCCAAACTAGTTCCTGATCTTTCACAACCCAACAGTAGATCTGGCAGTTCACTTTGCGATATACAGTCCAGTGGTTTTCTTGTAGATCTTGGTGATTTCCCTCATGCTTTGTAGCTGCTGTCTCAGGCTTCTGTTCCTTATTCCGTTTTTGCGTTCTAGTCATCAGTTTTACCTAAATGCAGAATAATGATTATAAGAAGATAAGTATGTAGACAGATTTGCCTGATGTCATTGTACATTTCTTCTATGCACTGACAGCAAAAAGTATAAGAATTATATTTAAACATAACTTAGTTTTATTATTGGCATTTTTCAAGTTACCAGTACAATGAATGTACTGCTATGACTCAGTTATGAAGTCTTAGTTTGTGAAAATGAGTTGTGCTGTATGAAGGTGAAGTTGGCATAATGTTAGTAGAGGGTTTAAGAGATGGTCAGGTGTTTTTATCTTGTGTAAGAATGGTTATTTTTTATATTTTATCAACTACTGACATGTAATATCAAAGGAGATGTGATAGGATGATGATAATGATGATGATGAATGAATGGTGAATGGGGATGGATGGAAGAAAAAGGGGTCATGTCCTTATAAAGTATTCTTTTTGCAGTTTCTGTGGAAACAATAAAAAAAATATCGAAAGTGTATGTGTCTGAGATTCAGATTGCAGACCCTCCATGTATGGAGCCTTTGTTTCCCACATTCTTTTTAATAATTTTTAAGAATATTCATGCTGTGACATCTCTTTGGAGTACATTCTCCAAATAGATCTGCTATGCATTCAAATGTTCACACATTCTTCAGAGCTTTCTCTCTTAGTGTTGTAGATTATTCATTGCTGGGGAACTTCTTTCCTTGCCAGAATTTTCGTGTCAGTTCAAACATTAAATTATCGTTTGGGTCCAGATCCAAATTTTGCAATGGGTCTAAGCTCCCAAAAATGACTTGCACAGAAGCCTGAATTTTACATTATTAATGTATGGGGTTGCTGTCATTAAGAAAATGACTTGTCTGCTGTTTGTGATGATCCTTATGACATCACATAGGGTCATTATAGGACTCCTTCCTTAAGGAACAAATGTAGACTTGTGAGATCACTGTGCTATGGGTGTGAGTCTCTTTTATATTTTAAACATTTGACCAATTTACACAGAATCTGGTATGAACGCCATTGGAGGCCACCCTGAAGTCATACATTTTCATTTCCTACAGCCGTGATAGCAACATGACAGATGCATGAACTTGTAAGGTGAGAATGGCACTAGTGCCACTATGGTCGTAAAATAATGTAATATGTCTTAAAAATATGCAAGTTTTGTGCAAGCATTTTTTCGAGACACTAGTGGTCATGCAAAAGATATTTCACTTAGCTTTCCCAACCATAATTAACAAACTGTGTAAAGCCTAAGAATTGTTTTTTTTTTTAAGTAATCAGTTACAAGCAGATTACGGTCTTACATCCCAAAAAAATTAGCATCAACTGAGGGACATAGTAGGCTATATCCCCAAAAGTAAATAGTACAATTATAATATTTTCAATTGTAAACAACAAAGAAATTTTAGATTCAGTAACATTTGATCATATGACAATCCATATATAAATCCAGTTTGCTGATCCATGAGTTAACTACATTTTATTATCGAATTATGGCTAAATACGTGTACAATGTTGACAGGCCAAGAACTGTAGACTGGAAGTTTGTGCAGTCAAGAAGTAGGCTAAAGAAAAGACATACAAGGGAGTGCTAACACGATTGAGCCAGAGATAAAGGATTGAGTTGACATATGTGTGGAGTGAAAGCCAAGACCTGAGGGATAAATAAATGAAGGTGTAGAAGTGCTTGTGACATGTTCAAGGAAGTGCACATTTTGATACAGATACGTTCATTTTGTTATGCATAAGAGACCGAGCTCAGTGATCCTGGTGTTTAAGGCTTCTGAACTCCGAAATCTCGGGTTCGAGCCCAACTGAGGGCACACACAC